AAACTGCAGAAGTACCCATTAAAAGCTGGCAACCACATTAACTTTATGCTCATTCCATGAAATGCATTATTCATTTTTATTCCTCTTCTTCCAATAAAACTGCTCAGAACAATGACTCACATCTAAGCATACTAACCTAGAATCCTTCAGTTTCCATATACGCAAAGGAACCAATGTCATTACTAAGCTCTTAAAGGAAAATTGCCCCAGGCTGGTCTGTAGTATTATCAATTCTATCTAGACTTATACAGAGATAGGCAACAAAGGGTTTTCGGGTTGATAGCTGCAGTTTCCACTGCTGCATTTTCCTTCTGTCCACTGCCACTTCCAGAAAATCTGATTTGAGGACACAAAGCAAAAGTTGAGCAGGCAAGAGACAGAATGGACACTACAGGACTGCAGCAAAATAATGAAATGAATGTGATTTTGGAAGCACACCAAGTTCTTCAGACACTAAATAATGCAGTTCAACCAAGAAACACAAGGTTGCTTTCACTTGTATTGTTCTCCTGTCTTGCAGTCTAAATTCAGCTGGTGTGAATGCAGTAACATGGGCAGGCTTCACTTGACAGGGGAGCGTCCTAGCTCACAACAAAGAATGCATTATGCATAGCTTCACCGCTGTTCCTGAACAGTTACATTACAGTAAGACTAGGTACATCTGTCTACAGCGCTGCTGGCACACAGCTGGGTGCAAATGCAGTTTAAGCTATTTCAGCCACACTGAAGCAGAAGGGGAGGTTCTGGTAGGTGTTCCAGCCTGTTCATCTCCCCATTTGCCACCAATGAACAGGTTCACTGGTAGCAAATATAAAGGCTGAGTTGAAGAAGTATTTTAACTCCATAAACAACGTCAAATGGAAGCTTTAGGAAAATCTAAACGAGTCAATCTATGTAAAAAAGAACAGCATCTTTTTAGGTTTTAGTATCTCTGCTTAACACGAAAGGAGTGCTTGGCTCGCAGCCTGCACAAGTGCCTTTCCCAGGATTTCTGCCATAAGAGCTTCAAACCAGAAGTGCTGTCATGAAAAACGCTTTTCTTACTCAGCAGACCAAAGTGGAATACAAAATACAAAGCTCAGCTTCAACAGTCATCGTTGTGCCCATGCTATCAATTACAATAAAGTAGCAATAATGCTAGGAAAAACGCAATCCCAGATCCATCTTTTTCTTTCTAAGACAGCTGAGGACTGTGTGAGAAAGTACAACCTGAGCAAGCTGAAGTTAAACTAGTAAACGTCAGAAGGAATGCGCAGTAAAAATATTTCAGAGTCAGAACTGAATGCAATAAACACCTAGAACTAAAGATAGGAGAAAAGATCACTTCTTCGGGATTTTTGTTCTGGCTTGGTTTTGGAAGGGTTTTCTGTTGTTGTTTTGGTTGTTCGTTGGTTGGTTGTTTTTTTTAACGGAGGTATGTGCAAATTTACTACTGGGGGAATGGATCCCTGTTCAAACAGATAACCGATATATGCCTAATATCAGAAAAATAAGAAAAGTCCTTAATATAGGAAGATGAATTGCAGAGTTAAATGATGGTATGCTGCAGGCAGGGATTACCAGTCACACGGTATGCAGAAACAAACTTGCACCCTCTCTCCCATGCAGTGAAATATATAACATGATTTGTAGGCTGGTGTCAAACGTCACCATGTCTTTCCGAGAGTAGCGTATGACAGCACCAAGGACTCAATGATGATTTGCTTAACTGTAAAGCCAACCCATTGAAAACCAATCTGAACAAAAACCAAAGCAAAATAAATGCCTTTTGTTGGTAAAAAACCAAATCAATCAACAGGTGAGAAAACAGAACAGGAAAAAAACATTGCACTGTCTCAGATGAATACAACAAAAATCAGAAACTCTAGATGTCACTAAATGCAATGAAGTTTGAGAGCCATACTCGTAACTAGAAACCTTATCTGTCTGCACCTGCAACATTTTGAATGAAAGACTGGCTGCAGTAGCATGGAAAATATTTGCTAAGGTGGACGCTTCTCAAGCATTACACACTATTTCTGACAGTCAAAGAAGCCAACATTTTCCCAAGGCTCTGTGAATCAAGTTTGAATTTGATGACTGATTTCTTCAAAGATGTGACGACAGTTGGCAATGATCCAGCCCAATGCTGCTGGGAATGAGCAGGATTTTGCCCTGAACCTGCTGACAAATTCTAGGGCCCCAAGCAGTGCCAGTGAAGAGCTGTTACTGACTCTCAGTATTGTCTCCTGTTGACTTCAGTCAGTCTGAGAGCTTCAGACTGGCAGAAAGGCCAGAAAAACCTAGAAGGGAAAATGAGGAAAGGCAGACTGGAACATGCCGAGGAGATTGACAAGAGACTGAAGTTCTGTGCACGGCTATTTCAGCCTGAAATCTGGAACAGAATCAGATGGGAAACTGCTCAGGGACAGAGAGACTTTCTGTGGCAGAATGGTTAGAGAAAGAAAGCTTAACTCTGAAATCTGTGAAGGCAGAGAATGAGAACAACTCAGAACATGGGGGAGTGGGGCAAGAGATGGCAATGGGGAAGGCCAAAAGGAAAAGTCACTACCAGGAATTCTACCTTTCACAAAAGGATGAGTGCCTGTCTTGGTAATCCCGCTGTGTCTTTAACTTAATTTTTGCATATATAAAATTTATTTTGTTATGCTTATTTAGGAAAGGCATGTGCTCTCTTCTTTAATACATCCTACATCAGGTGCAAGGTTCTTTTTATTCCTCTGGAAGATAGGTTGGACGTGTGCTGTCTACAATAGGTTTTTCTAACGTATTCACATTACATGTAAAAAGCTATTAGAAAGAAGCTGCAAAATTGGCCAACAGAACTCTGAACTTCAAGTCTACCGACCAAACCTGAGTATCAGTTGCATCTATTAAACAGTGGGCAGTGGGAGGGGAATAGGTTTATTCTTAAAAACAAAACCAGAAAGAACTGTAATTACCCAAGTAATTTCAATCTTCTGTTTTTGAAGGTGTCACTGTTAAATTTAAAACACTGACATACTGCATAGTGAAAAAAAAATCTGTTACAAATACAATTAAATATAAAAAACTCCAACATTAAAAATTGGAGAAATGTTATTCACAGACAAAAAACAAGCCACAACAAAAAAAAAAAATGGGGTGGGGGGGGGAAGAAAGAAATCTAGGATAAAATTTTGACCCTTCAAAGGAATTTAAAAAAAAAACCACCAACACCTTATTGACTTCAGTGAGGGTGGGATATCACCTACTAACGACTCCGTTCTGTCAACACTCTATGCTGTGCAGTCTATTCATTGGAAATGCTGTCATGAGTAAGAGAGGCCTCAGATAAAGAGCTTCATGCTACCTTCCTTCTTGAAATGCTTTTAAGCATCCGATTTGCTTAAATAGCCTACAGCAAGACTTCCAGATTATTCACACTGCCTACCACTAGACATGTACATACAGTGTTGTCTCAGAGAAACCATATTCTAATAAATATGGCTTCTAATTCTAATAGTGACACACTTTATTTTTAGGCTATAGGTCAAACCTCTCTTCGGTACACACAGACATCTGGGGTAGGTCAGACCTAGTAATTTCACTTAGCACATGCTAAATGGATAGCAGACAGGTAAACTTTTGTTCTGAGGCTATTCAGATGTTCTGACTTAAAGCCATCAGCCAAAATACTCACTTTCAATGAAAGTCAAGAAAAACATACTTGAAAAATATTTTACTCGCTCACTGCTCAATCCACAAAAAACTATAAAAGTATCAGAAGTGATTTTTTAATCACTTGTAAGCACTGAGTTGGTAAAACTAATGTCTCTCTTGCTACTTGACCAAGCACATCACAAATAATAACCAAGACTGTTAACTTGTCTTAATGAAGTTTCCAAGGATATAGCGACTGGCTGTGAACAACTGACCCAACAGCTCCTGCTGAAACGTGCGTGAGGACTGCACAGTTCACAAAGGTATTCTCTGCCTCATGCCTCCTAAGTTTTATTGAACAAAATACAATTAAACAGACAATACACCATAAAACAGCAACAGAGGAGCGTTCACAACAGATTTTTCCATCTATCAAAATGGGGTGTAACCATTACCTATTTAGAATGATTCTTAATCTTACCCACAAGCTCTGCACATTCGCTGTATATCGTATATGGGCAAGAGCATCCAAATCAAATGTTTATGTTACACTGCAAAATCTACTTGATATTTGGGTAGCAAAAGTGAACCAATTTTCATTAGATATGCAGCATCTGTAGAAATTAATTCTTTTTATTTAGGTTTGTAAAAATTATTTACAGAATCTAGTTCTGTATGTGTCAATTATATTTAATTTGAAACATTTTTAATCCATTTGGGGTTAGCTTAACCTCCTGACTAATCATCCATTTTTGTAAGGATATAACTTTTTAATACAGAAGAATGTTTTGAGAATTATTTATTTAATGTTTTTCCTTTACTGGCGGATGCTAGAGTAGAATTTATTAGATAATTAAAAAACAAACTCAACAACCTAGCTTTAATATTTCTTTTAGTTTTACCTTTAAAATCCTGTGTTCTTATGTTGCCTTTCCAATCAGTCTTTATCCCCAAAACTCACACATAGGCTTGTTGTCTTAAGACCAGTGAAAGTTCTTCTATTAATTAATTTTTCTAGTGACAAGCAAACAAGAGTGATGAGTATGTTTCCACCTTTATTACTCATTTTTCCCCTCTTTGGGAAGTAAGACCATGAAAACACTGTTGGCATATATTGCCCCTACTTTGCAGCATGTTGAACCCCAAGGCAACTCTTACATGTCAACAGCAATAGGAATTACTACTAGAAAAACAGCACTAAGAGCCAAGTACTGGTGATAGAAAACCCTCTTGCTTCCAGAAACTGCAGATGTTTTCTCAAAATTTTTAAAGTTTTCAGCAAATGATTTGTCAGATGCCACAAGTTTAGGAATAATAGTAAGGCAAATGTGAATTACTGGATCAGAGAACATCTGCAGTGTCTTGCAGGGCATGGAGAACTTTAATTTTGCATCCAAAAGGGATAGGAAGTTTTATATTTATTTTTCTTGAACTTTGATACAAATTGTTATTGTTCCAGATCTTTTTTCCGGATCATATGGTACCTTTTCCAAGTGAGCCCCATGCAGCTGTAAGCCACTCTGGGATATTACAGGTGTGTAATCTTTGAATGAAGATGAGCCAGCATAGCTTAGAATTTCCCATTGCCTGTTTTTTTGTGAGCATAATTCTTGGATCTGTTCCTAGGTTATGAATATCTCAAAATATGGTTAATATTTTTTTCCTTATGAGATATGAAGTGGTGTGTCCCTGCCAGACAGTTACTGTATGACCGCACTTGGAAACTTAGGCATTCTTTCGGAATCACGGAGTGTCAAAACAGAAGATGAAGTAAAAATGGTTAATGCCTTTCTTGGGTATTTCAGGTGAAAGACCCTGTTTCCTTAAAAAGGTGGAGTGCTGCAGTACTTGGCACATACTTAACAGCAGGCATTGGTAGGATAATGAGGAAATGGGAATGTGATACAACCGGCTGTAAAAAAAGGCTTAAAAGGTTAAACTTAATGAGTAGAAAATTCAGACTGACTAGTATGATTTGTTAGCTGGAAGGCTACTGTAGCCTTTGGGGAAAAAAAAGGTAGGTCACTCAGTCATCTTTAAGTGGACACAAGATTTTAACTTACAGTGAGAATAGATTCACAGAATGACCATATCAGGGATCATGGTCTTACTTCCCAAAGAGGGGAAAAATGAGTAATAAAGGTGGAAACATACTCATCACTCTTGTTTGCTTGTCACTAGAAAAATTAATTAATAGAAGAACTTTCACTGGTCTTAAGACAACAAGCCTATGTGTGAGTTTTGGGGATAAAGACTGATTGGAAAGGCAACATAAGAACACAGGATTTTAAAGGTAAAACTAAAAGAAATATTAAAGCTAGGTTGTTGAGGTTTTTTTTAAATTATATAATAAATTCTACTCTAGCATCCGCCAGTAAAGGAAAAACATTAAATAAATAATTCTCAAAACATTCTTCTGTATTAAAAAGTTATATCCTTATAAAAATGGATGTTTAGTCAGGAGGTTAAGCTAACCCCAAATGGATTAAAAATGTTTCAAATTAAATATAATTGACACATACAGAACTAGATTCTGTAAATAATTTTTACAAACCTAAATAAAAAGAATTAATTTCTACAGATGCTGCATATCTAATGAAAATTGGTTCACTTTTGCTACCCAAATATCAAGTAGATTTTGCAGTGTAACATAAACATTTGATTTGGATGCTCTTGCCCATATACGATATACAGCGAATGTGCAGAGCTTGTGGGTAAGATTAAGAATCATTCTAAATAGGTAATGGTTACACCCCATTTTGATAGATGGAAAAATCTGTTGTGAACGCTCCTCTGTTGCTGTTTTATGGTGTATTGTCTGTTTAATTGTATTTTGTTCAATAAAACTTAGGAGGCATGAGGCAGAGAATACCTTTGTGAACTGTGCAGTCCTCACGCACGTTTCAGCAGGAGCTGTTGGGTCAGTTGTTCACAGCCAGTCGCTATATCCTTGGAAACTTCATTAAGACAAGTTAACAGTCTTGGTTATTATTTGTGATGTGCTTGGTCAAGTAGCAAGAGAGACATTAGTTTTACCAACTCAGTGCTTACAAGTGATTAAAAAATCACTTCTGATACTTTTATAGTTTTTTGTGGATTGAGCAGTAGTGAGTATTTTGGCTGATGGCTTTAAGTCAGAACATCTGAATAGCCTCAGAACAAAAAACAGTTAACTGTCTGCTATCCATTTAGCATGTGCTAAGTGAAATTACTGGGTCTGACCTACCCCAAATGTCTGTGTGTACCGAAGAGAGGTTTGACCTATAGCCTAAAAATAAAGTGTGTCACTATTAGAATTAGAAGCCATATTTATTAGAATATGGTTTCTCTGAGACAACACTGTATGTACATGTCTAGTGGTAGGCAGTGTGAATAATCTGGAAGTCTTGCTGTAGGCTATTTAAGCAAATCGGATGCTTAAAAGCATTTCAAGAAGGAAGGTAGCATGAAGCTCTTTATCTGAGGCCTCTCTTACTCATGACAGCATTTCCAATGAATAGACTGCACAGCATAGAGTGTTGACAGAACTGAGTCGTTAGTAGGTGATATCCCACCCTCACTGAAGTCAACAAGGTGTTGGTGGGTTTTTTTTAAATTCCTTTGAAGGGTCAAAATTTTATCCTAGATTTCTTTCTTTTTTCTCCCCCCCCCCCCCTTTTTTTTTTTTTTTTTTTTTGTTTTGGTTTGGCTTGTTTTTTGTCTGTGAATAACATTTCTCCAATTTTTAATGTTGGAGTTTTTTATATTTAATTGTATTTGTAACAGATTTTTTTTCACTATGCAGTATGTCAGTGTTTTAAATTTAACAGTGACACCTTCAAAAATAGAAGATTGAAATTACTTGGGTAATTACAGTTCTTTCTGGTTTTGTTTTTAAGAATAAACCTATTCCCCTCCCACTGCCCACTGTTTAATAGATGCAACTGATACTCAGGTTTGGTCGGTAGACTTGAAGTTCAGAGTTCTGTTGGCCAATTTTGCAGCTTCTTTCTAATAGCTTTTTACATGTAATGTGAATACGTTAGAAAAACCTATTGTAGACAGCACACATCCAACCTATCTTCCAGAGGAATAAAAAGAACCTTGCACCTGATGTAGGATGTATTAAAGAAGAGAGCACATGCCTTTCCTAAATAAGCATAACAAAATAAATTTTATATATGCAAAAATTAAGTTAAAGACACAGCGGGATTACCAAGACAGGCACTCATCCTTTTGTGAAAGGTAGAATTCCTGGTAGTGACTTTTCCTTTTGGCCTTCCCCATTGCCATCTCTTGCCCCACTCCCCCATGTTCTGAGTTGTTCTCATTCTCTGCCTTCACAGATTTCAGAGTTAAGCTTTCTTTCTCTAACCATTCTGCCACAGAAAGTCTCTCTGTCCCTGAGCAGTTTCCCATCTGATTCTGTTCCAGATTTCAGGCTGAAATAGCCGTGCACAGAACTTCAGTCTCTTGTCAATCTCCTCGGCATGTTCCAGTCTGCCTTTCCTCATTTTCCCTTCTAGGTTTTTCTGGCCTTTCTGCCAGTCTGAAGCTCTCAGACTGACTGAAGTCAACAGGAGACAATACTGAGAGTCAGTAACAGCTCTTCACTGGCACTGCTTGGGGCCCTAGAATTTGTCAGCAGGTTCAGGGCAAAATCCTGCTCATTCCCAGCAGCATTGGGCTGGATCATTGCCAACTGTCGTCACATCTTTGAAGAAATCAGCCATCAAATTCAAACTTGATTCACAGAGCCTTGGGAAAATGTTGGCTTCTTTGACTGTCAGAAATAGTGTGTAATGCTTGAGAAGCGTCCACCTTAGCAAATATTTTCCATGCTACTGCAGCCAGTCTTTCATTCAAAATGTTGCAGGTGCAGACAGATAAGGTTTCTAGTTACGAGTATGGCTCTCAAACTTCATTGCATTTAGTGACATCTAGAGTTTCTGATTTTTGTTGTATTCATCTGAGACAGTGCAATGTTTTTTTCCTGTTCTGTTTTCTCACCTGTTGATTGATTTGGTTTTTTACCAACAAAAGGCATTTATTTTGCTTTGGTTTTTGTTCAGATTGGTTTTCAATGGGTTGGCTTTACAGTTAAGCAAATCATCATTGAGTCCTTGGTGCTGTCATACGCTACTCTCGGAAAGACATGGTGACGTTTGACACCAGCCTACAAATCATGTTATATATTTCACTGCATGGGAGAGAGGGTGCAAGTTTGTTTCTGCATACCGTGTGACTGGTAATCCCTGCCTGCAGCATACCATCATTTAACTCTGCAATTCATCTTCCTATATTAAGGACTTTTCTTATTTTTCTGATATTAGGCATATATCGGTTATCTGTTTGAACAGGGATCCATTCCCCCAGTAGTAAATTTGCACATACCTCCGTTAAAAAAAACAACCAACCAACGAACAACCAAAACAACAACAGAAAACCCTTCCAAAACCAAGCCAGAACAAAAATCCCGAAGAAGTGATCTTTTCTCCTATCTTTAGTTCTAGGTGTTTATTGCATTCAGTTCTGACTCTGAAATATTTTTACTGCGCATTCCTTCTGACGTTTACTAGTTTAACTTCAGCTTGCTCAGGTTGTACTTTCTCACACAGTCCTCAGCTGTCTTAGAAAGAAAAAGATGGATCTGGGATTGCGTTTTTCCTAGCATTATTGCTACTTTATTGTAATTGATAGCATGGGCACAACGATGACTGTTGAAGCTGAGCTTTGTATTTTGTATTCCACTTTGGTCTGCTGAGTAAGAAAAGCGTTTTTCATGACAGCACTTCTGGTTTGAAGCTCTTATGGCAGAAATCCTGGGAAAGGCACTTGTGCAGGCTGCGAGCCAAGCACTCCTTTCGTGTTAAGCAGAGATACTAAAACCTAAAAAGATGCTGTTCTTTTTTACATAGATTGACTCGTTTAGATTTTCCTAAAGCTTCCATTTGACGTTGTTTATGGAGTTAAAATACTTCTTCAACTCAGCCTTTATATTTGCTACCAGTGAACCTGTTCATTGGTGGCAAATGGGGAGATGAACAGGCTGGAACACCTACCAGAACCTCCCCTTCTGCTTCAGTGTGGCTGAAATAGCTTAAACTGCATTTGCACCCAGCTGTGTGCCAGCAGCGCTGTAGACAGATGTACCTAGTCTTACTGTAATGTAACTGTTCAGGTGAACAGCGGTGAAGCTATGCATAATGCATTCTTTGTTGTGAGCTAGGACGCTCCCCTGTCAAGTGAAGCCTGCCCATGTTACTGCATTCACACCAGCTGAATTTAGACTGCAAGACAGGAGAACAATACAAGTGAAAGCAACCTTGTGTTTCTTGGTTGAACTGCATTATTTAGTGTCTGAAGAACTTGGTGTGCTTCCAAAATCACATTCATTTCATTATTTTGCTGCAGTCCTGTAGTGTCCATTCTGTCTCTTGCCTGCTCAACTTTTGCTTTGTGTCCTCAAATCAGATTTTCTGGAAGTGGCAGTGGACAGGAGGAAAATGCAGCAGTGGAAACTGCAGCTATCAACCCAAAAACCCTTTGTTGCCTGTCTCTGTAGAAGTCTGGATAGAATTGATAATACTACAGACCAGCCTGGGGCAATTTTCCTTTAAGAGCTTAGTAATGACATTGGTTCCTTTGCGTATATGGAAACTGAAGGATTCTAGGTTAGTATGCTTAGATGTGAGTCATTGTTCTGAGCAGTTTTATTGGAAGAAGAGGAATAAAAATGAATAATGCATTTCATGGAATGAGCATAAAGTTAATGTGGTTGCCAGCTTTTAATGGGTACTTCTGCAGTTTTGTTCTGCAGCCTGAGTAGAACTGTGTGCTTGCTCTTTGCTAAGATAACAGTGTCTTGCTAGGTAACAGTTGTGTTGCGCTCTGACAATGTCTGGTTGAAATGGCTAAAGCAAAGCCATTGAATATCTTGAGCAGCTGTCTCGATGATTGGCCCAGCTTCTGCTTTTGGCTCCTAAAGCTCCTGCTCAGGCACCCCTTCAGGTGGCTCCTTTGTCTCCTCCTTTTGAAAATGGTAACATCTACCTGACCTGCATGGGTTTGTGATTCAGTTTTTGTGAGTTCTTTGCTGAATTAATTTTAGCTCAGATCGGTTCCTTTATCTGGTTTGTACCACAGGAGGAAGGAGAGGTAGCTTTGTTTTGTTTCTTCTTCATCTGTTGGTAGCGTTCATTTGCAGTTTTCTATACGTAGGGTCTGAGGCAGGGGATCAGAACTTCTTAACACTGGTTTTGTTGCTGAAGTCAACATATTGCATAACTAATGCTCTCATTTCAAACCATACGTTCTATATAAATATGTAACTTGCTTAGCATACCTTGGAGTTGTGTAACATTCTGCACATCTTAAGTCAGAAGTACTCTTAATGGGATTAGATGCAATCATAATTGAATTCCTGTGGTGTGATACTGGATATAGGGGTTTATTCCCCTTAGTTCTGTCTGAGTATGTTAGTGAAATAGAAAGCTGGTTTCAGGTGGAAGGAAAAACGCATATCTGATGTTTTCTTTCAGATGTTCCTAAGCTCCAGCACATCTCCTGAGATTCACAGTTATTTGCATGCAAAGGAGCAGGGGGAAAAATCCCGGACAGAACTGTACTTTCTTTTGAGAAGATCTGGCCTTTATTTTTCCACTAAAGGTACATCTGAGGTAAGGGAAAATAAAAAAGGGAGAACATAATAACATAACGAAGTTAGAGCAAAGGTGTATGTATTTAAAATCTGTTCTAATAAGAAAAAATTGAATTTCAACTTCCAACGATAAAAAGGAAAAAAATATTTATTATAGATAAAATGTAGAGCGATATAAACTTGGAAAAGTATTGTCTTAGAGTAATTTCCTTTTGCCTAACTTTGCTTCATTCTGATCAATATTTTTCCAGTCAGTTAACAGCGTACTCTTTTAAAATCAATTTTCAGCTGGTAGTTAAAATGCTGAAGTGTAAGTAGGTGCTTTGAAAAGGGGTTGTCTTACTTCATGATGTAAAATAAAAAACCCCTGTGTATAAAGGGATTTTACAGGAAGATTTTGCGAGTTCTCACGTTCTGTCACTGTACAGTTTTCCATTTTACTACTTCAACTTTTTGGTGGCAGTTCTTGAAACCTGATAATGTTAAACAGGAGACACTGGAGTTGAGACACCTTTTACGTAAAGCACTTAAAGATTTTTCTTGTTCTGAATTTTCTGTGCTAACTGCCAGAGTAATCGTTGAGCTGCTTTTGTATCCTTCAGCAAACCTCTTTTGTTTTCTTCCTTAACTTGGTTCATCTTAGAGGATGGAGATAATGGTTAGAAAGAGTAGTGGACAGTTTTCAGGTTATGAAAGTACCTTTTATTTTGATGTTTGAAATGCATACAGCTCTCAAAACGTGACTCCTCCTGTAATATTATTGTGGCTTGAATTTAGCGGATGCTTTCCCAGAAGTGTCATCACTTGTACTTCGGTTTTTCTCCCTCTCTGGCAGAATGAACTCTTTGACTAGTTTGATGTGGTTTTTCTCTGCATTATGAAATTGATGCTGAGTTGTCTCTTTCTAGATTTCACAATGTCAAACGTACAGTATGTTAAGACTATTTTGGACCAGGATAACTACTACATCTCCTGAGTTTCTTCTCTGGAGGGGCTGGCTAAAAATAGTCTAACTATAGTACATTGCTCTTCTTTTTAGGAGCCAAGGCATCTGCAGTTTTTCTGTGAATTCAGCCTT